CCATTATTGTGATGAGTGCCTTAATGGTTTGGTTAGACTTTTTACTTCATGCTTTTTTATTGTATATTCCTTTGTTTGGTTTTGCGACTTTCTTTGTACATTTCATTTTGTTACTTTGGATGCACCATTATTGTAATGGGTGCCGCTGTTTTAAAAGCGTTTTTCCGAAATAATCTATTATTATTATTATCACCTAAACCCAAATACTGTACTGTACATGCCGATCTTAAACTCTTATATAAGATGATGTATGCACATTTAGGCTTCAGCTGGGGACATCATTGTGATTGGCTAGATAAGAATATGCACGCCTGTAAAAGCTTAGGAATTGTTCTTTCCGCCAAAATCTATTGCGGACGTAATATTTCCAAGTGTGCTGTGCAGCAAAGTAAATTTCAGCGGACTGATTTTGGCTTATGTGGACTACATTTGGCAAGTAAGTATGAGGCCAAAATCAGTCTACCGGACCGATTTTTGCCCCGGACCAAATTTTTACTGACAGGCCTATATGTATTTCAGAATTATAAAAAAAGGAGAGCTAAGTCTGTGGTGTTTAACACTCTTCATCCTCGCCATGTCGCTATCGCATCACATGTCATCAGCACATACTGTAGAAACCGCCCTGACAATAAGAAAGTACAATAAATATTCATATTGCCGAATCAGGAAGGCCGAATACACCTAATTACATTCCGTAGGCCTACAACTTATAAGTATTTTTATTTTGGTATGCGTGACTGAGATACATTCCTAAAAAGAAGGCCTAGACCTAATTATACAGAGTTTTTTTGTAATTATAGCCTAATCATTATTCATTTCAAAATTAGGCCTTTATGTATTTCAGAATTATAACAAAAGGAGAGCTACGTCTGTGGTGTTTAACACTCTTCATCCGCGCCATGTCGCTATCGCATCACATGTCACCAGCACTTACTGTAGAAACCGCTCTAACAATAAGAAAGTACAATAAAATAATATTCATGATTGCCGAATCAGGAAGGTGATATTTTGAATCTACAACACCACCAATCTCCACTGCCTCAAACGTCCAGGAAAAAAAACCCGCTAACCGGTAGGCCATTCGATTCGCCTGTTGCTATAGACCATTTTAGAGAAATTTAAATTAAAATTTCCGATAACCTGGAAACTACCACTGGGGAACTTTCAGAGGCCTAGCATTTCGCTTTACGTAGTTACCATCATGGATTAAATCAAAGATAAAAGTTACTAGCGAGCACAAATATTTAAAAACGAAAGAAACACGAAATGTTTATATTTAAAAAAGGCTTTAATAATTATTTCAATGTCTACATAGGCCTAACAGTGATTAGCAAGATCGTATCTGTTGTCTACTGCTGCTATAGCAAAGGTGCTAGCCGTGCTATCCGCTGCGCTGTACCCAATTAATTTGTATCCAGAGGTGACGGAACTAGGGGGTGCTGTGTTATGGAGAGTAATGTGTGACCGGAAATGGTCTGCAGTCAGTTGGTTGTTACCATGCGCCAGTGATGTTGGAGTACAGCAAGATGAAACTATTTATGTAGGCATAATGCATTAATAAAGTTCGGGGTTTGTCGGGTAGTGAAATGATTATTGTACATTTTAAGTGCTCCCTCTATGAATAATTGTGTAAGCTAAATTACGGTGATTAATTAGTGTAGGTATGGAGAAAATTATTTCGAAGTTCCCTCTTTCCAATTGAGGGGATGCAAATGCTTTGTAAAAATGAGTACGCCGCGGTATTCATTTTCACGAAGGAATACACACAACTGGTTAGCTAACAATATGCAAATGTTACATGAACACATGGGAAGGAAGGTGCAATCACGTTCTGTTGCCTAGCAATCGTCTGTACTGTAGCGTGGG